TTTGAACTTCTTAGCTTTCTTGAAATTGTCTCTTCGTATTGCATAATTAGGAGTCTTTCATTTCTTGTTTGTTGCCTTTAGTTCCATTTCAACAAAGTTTGCACCATCTTGATCAATCAGCTTTTGTTCAATTTGTCGGTTGCCTCTTCAATCCTCAAAGCGCACAATCAATTCTTCCAAATTCATTTCCTCGCGTACTTGGCTATTCACGATTTTTGAATCCACCATCTTGTACTCCAAAAAATTGTTGACAATGAACTTTTTTGTTTCGGCATCCTTGATCTTATACTTTGTCTCCAAAGAATCCCATAGTTCCTTGGCTGATTCCTTTGAACTATACATGTGATATGGTTATTATCCAATCCATTTAGGATATAGTTCTTGTATAGGAAGTCCGAGTATTTCCATATATCCAAAGCAATAATTGATCCATGATTATTTTTCCCTTCTTGTACAACCGATGCAATTTCCTTTGGAAACTTAGCCAAATTAAGAGTGGTGAGAAAAAACAACATCTTTTGTTGCGATATCTTGAAGTCCACTCCTACAAATTTTTTCGACTTTTCCCCATATGGGATAGTAGTATTATGCAACGGTACAACCACGAGGGATACCACATTATTGGAACCATTTTCACTTGACGAAGTCCCGATGATAGTCATTTCTATTACACAAACAGAAGTTCAACAAAATGATAATAATATCGGTGGAGGAATAGTACACACAGCACTATTCAAGCAAAGTAATGGTTTGTCCACAACCAACCAAAAAGACACAAGAAATTTTGTCTTAAATTTGTTGGAGACGACTTAGAGAAACGGGCTATGTAAGGATTGATTTTTGATATATTTGTTCGACCGGTTTTAACCCGCAGGATCGTGATCAAAACATAATTTATATGAAAATTTGGACAGAGTTTCGGTATATATAATGTGGTAAATGATTACGCAAAACAATAATTAAGAAGGAGTAGAAAATAGAGAATAATTCAAGGCGAGATATAATCTCTTTCTTTAAGACAAATTGCCCCGCTACGGTACTCGCGGTGAATGACACTTGTCTCCCAAAATACAATGGATTCACAACTTGTCGTAGTAGCACTTCAAACCACAAGAAACCGATGAATTTTTGATAGAATTTTCCTTCTACAACGGAAATGCATGAAAATGCTATAGAAATAGAAAGGAGATCATTGCGAGAGAAGAATGAGTGCTCAATGCAATTGATGTACTCAAAACCATGTCTAGGGTCCTATTTATAGATGTAGAAAGGGTGCAAATGAAATAGTGTGAGCCAAAACATGCATCTTTTCGAAAAGTTGCAACACTTGGCCGAAATCTACATCCTTTCGAAAGGTTACAACACTTCATTTTTTCCAACTTTGAACCACAATTTCTCATTCATTCGGAATTGATTTCGAGATTCCAAATATACACAGCGATCTACTTGACGAGTAGAATATGTTGATCTATTTACTTTTATAATTTGACCATCGGATCAAGTCCGAATATTTGATTGAAATTGACACGAAGTCACACATTTTCATTTTCTACTTTTACACATCTTTTCATTTTCCAATTTTCAGTTATTTATTTGAACTAATTCCAACAATACCAATTTGATAATACTGGTCATTCTTTCAATCATGATATGTGTACATCAACATTCACATCATTTTTTACACCTTGTCACGTGGCAATACATTATTGGACAATTTAAATTTTTGACAATTTCCCCTCCCAATCAACACTTAACACCTCTTGTAATGTCAACAACAAAGTGTACAAATGGCAATTTCCTCATTCTTTAATGTTTATATTTTCTTGTACTAATTGAGTCATTCCGATACTTGTAAGGCAGCATCTTATGATGTAGCAGAACCTTGACATTTTCCATTTTTTGGTCATTCTTGAAGTGGAGGGGGGTAAAATGTGTATAAAGTTGTGCTTTATTTGGGAATCTGCCCCTGTTCGGGATCAAGAAAAATTCTACCACAATAATTACATAGTATAAAATTGTGCTTATTTCGGAGCAACAAAATATAAAATATTCTTTTACAATATTATATGTCTAGGTCGTGTTTTTTTCCTCTAAATTAAAAAGAAATCTTGTTCATAAACATGGTTCTTGGTGGATGATGTAACTGGAAGAATTGTCCGATTCCATTAGAAGTTATTTTCTTTATTGCTCACACTGCCGTCTTTCTCCGAGTAAAAAATAAGTCATCTGTGATGTTGATTATCTAATGGGTACTGCGATTCAATAAATTAAAGCATCATGTTATAAAAATTGAGAGAACAAGGAGAAAAAAAACAAGGGATAAGAGAATTTAGGAAGGACCAAAACTTTTACGTGTATTTTATCGAGAATTAAAGTCATGTATAGCGTATTTATAGACGATGATTGGAGCTGAAATGTTACAATGGTCCTTCACATATTGAATAAATTTACAAAAGTACTAGTAAAATTGGAACTTTAAAAGTAAAGATACTTTTCCAATGCAATTTCCTCTTTGATTATTGGGAAAATTATATAACTACAAAAGTTTCAAGATACATTTTGAAAAATAATAAGCTGGTGGATATTCTTCAAAAATTAGATGGTCATATTTTGTGACCCCTGATAACGTGACATACAATTTAATTAATTAGATTACAATCACAATCACATACAATTTATGATCACAATCACACATTAATCACAAATTTCATAAAGTCACGATTACAAAACAAAATGTGTTATTCATAATTATAAACACAGTCACAAATGAAACATTTTATTAGGTAGCAAATTACTTATTATTCCCAAATTATCCATTTCATCGGTCACAATTACCCAAATAATTAGTCACAAACATTCTTTACTCCACCTCGTTGTACTCCACCGCTATGATTGACATCACCCATAGGGCGCCAGGATTCAATCTTAGTAGGTTAAAATTTAACTATGATTTTTTTTCCCAAATAAGGTAAAAATGTAATATTAAATCGCCTATTTGCTTATTGATTTTCATAATTTTAATTGAACCAAACAAGAACATAGTTTTTTATTACCATAAAAATACAATTGTATACCTATAAAAGTCAACGAAATTAAAAAAAAAAATTATTATAATTAAATTTTAACTTTAATGATAGTGATCCATCAATCAAATGCGGGCCAAACACATTCCAAATGTCAGTGATGAAAAATCAATCAAAATAACAATAAAGCCACTCAGTCAGGCTTAAAAACAGAGTGAAGAGACACATTGATGTGTCAAAAAATAATTGGATATTTTTGTTTTAATTTTTCAAACTGTTCAATCATACGTCAACACGTATCACATTCGAATTTGAGCTTGAATGTGTAACATGCTTCACCAAAATAATTCTCATGCAGTGTACGAATCTTGCAGTGTCCATGGATCCATCCAGTCCATTAAATAATCCAGCTTTGACCATTGCTTTAGTTATTTGCTTAATTATAAATGCATTTATTTTTATTTTATTTTTTTATTATTATTTTTGCTTAACTTGTTAGTGAGGAAGAAGATGAAAACGGAAGGAGAGAAGGCAGAGAAAATCAGAAAACTTTTTGTAGGGTCAGTTGACCTATGTGTGTCCGTGCCCTAGCATCACCTAAATGCCACTATGACTTTATCACCACCCCAAATCCATCATTATCTCCATGTTCACCACTATTCCAACATTGTTGCCACCCATCGTCGCTGCCACCATCAAATCCTTCTCAAATCCACCATCACCCCCAGCCAACTACATTGACATGCACAACACTGTTTCCAGTGCTGCCACCCTCGTCACTTACGCCAACAAATGCACAAGAAATTAGAGATTGCACCACCCAAATTGTAATAGTTAGACCGTACCACACAAACACACAAATCGTCAACAAACTAAAATCAACAAACCACCTACATCTCTTGCCCACCCTTTCTCCCTATACGATGTCATTGCAGTCCAAATCTCAATAGAGACATGACGGGGCTAAAAATTGTCATCTCTTTCAGCAGTCACCCACTAACTCACTCTATCCTTCTTTGATACCCTTAGATTTGACCCTACCAAATGAATTTGAACTTGCTTCAACTTCTTCAAGATCGATTTGCTTCCAAAGTAGCAAACACTATACTAGTGACGCCTCGTCATTGCCAAAATTGGAAGTATTATAAAAATGTAGAAGATGAAGTTTAAGGCGGGGCTAGTTTTCGATGACAATGCCTGAAGTTGGTGGTGACGGTCGGACGATTTGCTTTAAAGATAGAAAGAAAGGGTCACAAATTTCTTATGTGGTTGGCGTGATCATGGGGTGGAATTGGGTAGGATGCACATTATTTTTGGAAGAAAAAATTTTGTAGTTGACTATTGAAATGAGAAGTTAAAAAATAGATGTGTGATTTTCTCTTGATTATGAGTGTCGTTCGTCTTAGTTTTTAAAATTTTGGGCCAACAAATTTAAGCCCCTGTTTGATCCCCATTAAATTAAATTATATTACATTCCATTTTTCTCTCTCATATTTTTAACCACACAATCTTCCATAAAATAATATTACACGTAAATCGAAAATTTTTCTTTTTTTTTTCAACCATTCATTTTTCTAAAAAATACTATTTCTCTCATTTTCATTTTCAGGTAATGGGCATCAAACAGGGGCTGAGTAATACTATTTGTACATAATTGCTTAAAGATTGATTTATAAATTGATAACCTGAATGCGAGAGAAGGATAAAAGGAAATAAAATGAAGTTAGGATAAAGCCGCAGCCCATAGATCTGGTCGGATTCGACCCATTTACCGAATGTTTTAGAAAAGGGCAATTTAGTCATTAAACAGAGATGGGAGGAGATCGTGATCGTGCTGAGATTGGAAATAAGAATTCTTCAAACGCGGCTCTTCCTCTACTTCTCGATCAAACGCTATATAAACAGTATCTCCCTCAGATACCCCCCACCGCATTCCTTTTCACGTGCTTTGCCCTGAAGTTTAATCCTAGTTCCGTACTGGATTGTCAGGCATAGGGTAATGTATCTTCTTTACTGCCAATATTGTGCCACCTTTAAATGTTATGTGGATCTTGTGTTATGGAATTGCATTTTAGTAAATTGTTTAGGAGTCAAATTGGGTGTAATCAACAGAAAATATGTGCAACTTGTGATTGACACTGATTGATCTTGAATTCTTTTTGAATCAGTGTCTAATTATAATCTTCAGCAACTTTTCGTTGTGATTTTGCGTTGTTAAATTGGATTCCTTTTTTGATGAGATGCTAATGGTTTTATTTCAGCTACAATGACAAAAATCATTAAGGAGATGCTCCCCCCCGATGTGCGCGTTGCAAGAGATGCCCAGGACCTTATAATTGAGTGTTGTGTAGGTATGCAATGTTTTAGGCGGATTTCGGCTCATATTGAAAATTCACCGACTTTTCAATCACAGAAAAGAAGTAGGATGATAAGAATCAGTGTAATGCGTAATTTGGTTTTCTTTTGTAAGTGGCTTTTGCATGTTTTGTCTGTTTGAATATATTGGACTTTCTTGAGATTGATTCTTTTTATGGTGTTGAAATTGTTGAAATTTTTTGCCTACATCAAGAAAATATATTTACATTTTGAATTTATACCAATGTTAATGGGTAAATTGCTACTTTTAAAGGTAGGGTTTGAAATCAAAAGTCACTACGCTGCAAAATGTGTGATAATAGGGGTACATTGATATAGTTTATATAATGGATTTTCAACGTTTTGTGGTGCATCAATGCTGTTTACCATGATTCATATTCCTGCTGTTTTCTTGTTTTATACTTGATTGTCTTTGACGGCTATGTAAATGAGTAATTAGAATAAATAACCTTTTGAATTTGGAGATGTCATGCTCTTTTTCCCAAAAAAATAAAAAAATGAAACTCCTCTTTTGATTATTTATTTTGGCACTCTAAGCATTAGATTTTGTTTCTTTACTGTGACTTAACATTAGCAGTTCCACCGCGCTTCTAGATAAATACTCTGTTTACTCCAGTATCTCTGTCCAATTCCTGCGTTTGTTCTGTTTGTACAAAAAAGTTCATTTTCATTTATTTATTGCTGAAATAATCTTTTTGTTTCTTCTGTTGCAGAGTTTATTAATCTCATTTCGTCAGAATCGAACGAAGTATGTGGCAGAGAAGAGAGAAGAACAATTGCACCTGAGCATGTACTCAAGGCTTTGCAGGTTTGTGACTTAACTCCAATAAATTTCATTCTAAAATTATGTTGAATTTCAGTACTTAAATTCATTTATGGTTTTGTTCAGATTGTATCAGACTATTTTATTATTATTTATTGCATTCGGAATTGATACTTTGTTTTCGTTATGAAATTTATGTTGCATCTCATTTTTTATTTTTTGTGAATATCTGACCTTTCCTATTGAGTGTTTACTCTGCGAATGCTGCTTTTAGATTTGTCACTCAATTCTATACTCTTGGTGTGCTCGTATCCTTGAGTAGCAGCTTACCCCACCATTCATTCCAAGGCCCCCCAGGATATATCGTTCTCTACATCATTGTATGATCACTTGTCATTGAGTATATTGAGTTGAGTAACGTGAGAAAAGTGCGCCATATCTATTCAGACTGATTTTCTATACTGGGTTTTCCTCCCTCCACTTTTAACTTGTCATGTTCTACAATGAAAATTTTAGAAACTGCTCTTTTATTTCAGGATCTTGGATTTGGGGAGTATATTGAAGAAGTTTACGCTGCATATGAACAGCACAAACTCGAGACAGTGGTAAATACCCTATAACAAGATCTCACACTGGTCTCGACTCTACTTATACGTAGTATTCTATTGGTTTTATTTTGAAATGCTTTTGCACAGGACGCAGTGAGAACCGGGAAATTGAGCAATGTAGCTGAAATGACCGAGGAACAGGCGCTGGCGGAGCAGCAGAGGATGTTTGCAGAGGCACGCGCAAGGATGAATGGAGGCATTGCAGTTCCGAAGCAACCTGAGCCCGTGCCTCAAGGCCCTCAACCACCCCAACCAAGTTTGAATACCTAACTTAGGACTTTTTTTTTTCTTTTGTTAAATTATAATTATGAAGGCAAGCACCCTTTGATTCTCTATCCGAAACACCCTTTTTTTTTTTTTTTTGGGTATATAAAAAGCTTTTGGGAAATCCAGTAGAATCTTACTTCAATAGAGCGTGTACACTTTGTATTTATGTAATTGAGGAGTTTCTAAAAAGTCTTTTCTGTTTTTACTTTCTCATAAACTCGTTACAACCTTAGAGAGGCAAAATCAACTGTCGAATATTTATTTGGCTTTTTACAAATTAAACACGAAGAATAATAAAATAATTTTGCTTCTTACTAGAGGTAGGAGTGATTGATCGAAGAGCAATCATGATAGACACAACATATGAGTTTTGTCATAGAATTTGGAAAAGTCAGACCCCAAAATTTAGCCATTGAAGTTGGAGAGGTCAGGTCTATATAAACCACACAAAGGAAGTTTATACTTTCGATGTGGAATTCAGACAAACTATCACGCTTTTGACTTGACGTCTACGTTGAGCAGGTGCCTATACACCGTAAGTGGTGATCGAGACCAAAGTAGGTGCTCAAGCACCATAAGTGGTAACAGAGATTAGAAGGCATAATGCCTGCTTTGACACCATTAACTTAGAACTTGGAAGAGCTGGTTCAAAAGCTAGTCATTGAAATTGAAGAATCCAAACATATATAAACCACACAAAGGAAGTTCATACTTCCGATGTGGGATTCAGGTTTCCATACATCCCAATGGAAACCATGACAAGTTTCTCCTACATAACTTGACCGATTTGGTGGCCGAGCTGAAGGAGGGAAACTAAGAGATTTGGTGCCAAAATTGTAACCAAATACGAACAACTTCAATAAGTGCTTTTGAGTGTACAAGTCGTTTTTTGGATATTTGTGCCAACATTTATGTTCTTCTATTTCCAATGGAATGTCTTATCTTACCCACTTTATAGGGAACTTTACTATATGCTCTCTTGTCAATCAGTAAGTGGGTAGTTTTATCTGCTCACCGTGGGCAAGAGAACAAATTCTTTTGTGTCAGATAATGCAAGGGAAAGAAGATGACAATGATCGATTTGTAGACTCATGGTTTGATCAGGAGCAACAAAGATGAAGAGGCTTGGAAAGTCAGTATTGGAGTCAAAGTTGTATGGTCTTAAGTTGTTTGAACCCGAGGCTAAAAAGTCAATCATTCTTTCTCCAAGAAGCCAATTACGGAGCATAACCAAAATAAATGAGATTATACTAAACCAGTTTATCTTATGTGACATTGGCAAGGAATCAATTGTTGATATGTTAGAAAGCATTCAAACTAGTTTTGGAAGTCGGTATGTTAAAGATGAATTTGGTTTTGCATGTGACTTTGGGATATATTGGATGCAACAATTTATCGAGTACCTGGTAGGCAGCCTAGCTGAGAATCCTTTTATGTAGGGTCACTACTAAGCATGACTCTTAATGTGATGCAATATGCTTCCTTGCATGTGATGCAATAGGCAATTATAATGTTTCGTTGTCGGAAAGATGAAGGGCCCTTTTGGTTTATATTTTAATTTTCAGTTTTGAGTTCATTTTTAGTTTTCTATAATGAGTGCTGTTCTAAAATGCGTTTAGTTTGTCATTTTAAAAAATTACTTTGCAAAACATAAAACTAGAAAAAAAAACATTTTATCTTGAAATTTAAAAAAAAATGTTTTATTACATTATTAAGTAATATATTATTTCAAAGTTTAAAATAAAAATAAATAACAAATTGAGTTTAAAATATCTGAAAAAAAAGGGTTAAATTGGCTAATGGCCACTTAACCTCATACTTAGTATCAATTTGATTTTATTTCATCATAACCACCAAACTTCATACTCAGTGTTACATTGGTCACCCAAATTGATTTTATTTCACATTGGCCATCCAACTTCATACTCAGTGTCACATTGATAGCCCAACTTCACACTTAATTTCAATGAAGCCACCCGATAATTTTATTTAACATTGGCCACCCAACTTCACACTTAATTTCAATCAAGCCACCAAATAATTCTATTTAACATAATCAAATTGGGCGACCAACATAACACGGAGTATGAAGTTGGATAGTTATGGTGAAACAAAATTAAATTGGATGGCCAACATGACTCTAAGTATAAAGTTTGGCGGCCATAGTAAAATAAAATAAAATTAGAAGGCCAATGTGACACACTAAGAATAAAGTTGGGGGTGCCATTAGTGGATTTAATTTTAACCTAATAAAAAAAATAATTAAGTGGAACCGAGAATAATTTTATTTGTGTTCATTTAAATATTTTTTTCAGAATTTTTATGTAAATAATAATTAAAAGCTTGAACTATTTTTATTTTTTATAGTTTTAATTTTTTCTAGAATATATTTTTCTAAATTTTAGATTTTTTATTTTTCAGAATTTATTTTTTTAATTTTTTTAGATTTTTTTTCAATTTTTTTATTTTTTATTTTATTTTATTAGAATTTTATATTTTTATTTTTCAATTTTTTTAAAATTTTATTTAAATAAAATTTTAGTTAAACGTTTGTTTTCCATATTTTGAGTGTTTTCGGATTTTTCACTAAACATATGAAAGCGTCGAAAATACGTTTTGAATTTTATGTTATAAGTTTAACATTGTTTTCGAAAATACATTTTCATAAATGCTGGACTAAATATGTTTTCATTGCTTTGCAAGTTTGAAATTGAAAACAGTTTGAAAAATACAAAAAAAATGCGCGTAACGTTTCTAATAAAGAGGTGTAAAGTTGAGTCTGATAACTCTCACCTAGAACAATTCGACTGGTAAGTAATCTCGTCTGAACTCGTGGCTCATACATATCTTAGTCAAAAAAATAAAATTGCATAACCACTCTCCGTAGCATCAATTAATCCAAATCTCCGTTTAATCTATAATTTTCACAAATAAAATCACTTTATATAAGTTAAAAAATACTTCTTTCACACACATATATCAGAAGAATAAGGTAGATGCATAAATCTCACACTCTAAAGTCTGGATGTTAACCGACTCTTTTATTTGTTTTTCCATCTTTCATCCATATCTTGTTTCCAAAATAATTTTTGAATTGTGAAAATTTCATTGTTGCTCCTTGACCTATTACTGGAGTGTCATTTTGATCGCAAATCTTTAAATAGAACAAGTTGATGCTTAATGTTGAAATTCACATGGCAAAAACCGTCTCTATTAAATCATAGGTAACTCTCATATGTTCAACATTATAAAGCTAACTTTTCTTTTTTATAATTTGGGAATGCCCAAAATAAAGTTCCAAGTTTTAATTAATTTCTGTTACGTGTTCGCACACTTGGGCAACTCACCGGGGCTCACAGCCAACTCATGCCGAACCACGTGGCTCTCAATCCGAGGTGATTTGCATAGTCAAGGTCCACAAATGTCTAGGCCCATTTATCATTGCCTCATGAGGAGCTTCCGAAACCCATATGCCGAGGCCATTTGAAGGTGGCGAGGCCCTATTTGCCGAAACTCTGTAGCCGAGGTGACAGCTTCCGAAGGACAAATCAACATCTTCCATAGACACCTCTCCCAAGAAATCTTCTGCACAAAGATCTTACTTGAATGATTGATAGGACGTTTATCATGAGTGTAAATGTTAAGTCTTGTCACTAGTAGAGGTGGCTCTGCCAATCAATAAATGTATAACAGGCTAGGTGCGGCTGATGTCTACAATTTGACATGTAACTGAACCGGATGAGGTCACGTGTACCCCGAACCAAAGGCTAATGCAAGAATTAATACAAAAAACCATACTTTACTCAACTCACTCTCTCGTTCTTATTATCTTGCAACATAAACGAGTTCATACATATTTGGATACACCTTAGCGAACGTCGATTGGTAATTATTGTACAATCGGTGTATGATCATCTCGCCGGATTTCGAACGTTCTCGTCCTGCATCGTTGAGTTACTCCCACGCCTTTGATCTGTCATTTTTAGATCGTCCACGTATCTTTGCGTGTTGGACTTTCGCTTACGTGAGCGCTGGTGGGTTCGATATCTGTTGCTAACATTTATTGGGGTCAACAGATTGGCGTCGTCTGTGGGAAGACATACCATAACCACGAACAACCTTATGGTGAAAGCTTGTTAAAGAGGAACATTTAGGCATCCCCCTTGAAAAAGGATTTGTTCTTAAAAAAGAACAAGAGGAAGCCCCACGACTTAGCAAAAATCTGAAGGGTAAAACACAAGGAAAATGAGTTCAAACGAAGATACACCCCCCAAGAGGGTAAGAGAAAATGCTAATGTGTCCCCTCAAGCAGCAGCCCATCAGACCCCACCACAACCACAGAAGACGTGGAATGCGTGCGACGGCCCGGCTGTCAAGAGAAATGACCGTCATAGTAGCTAATATAAGGGACATTGCTAGCCAAAACGCGGCTATGAAGGAACTTATGGCCCAAATGCAGGGCCAGGGAGGCTTCCCTATTCCTCCATATGCCCCTCAAGGGCACTACCAGTAAGAAGATGAAGTTCAAAGCCGTAGGGCTACCTCGCCAAACTATAGCCAAGGTGGAAGCCCATTTGAAAGGGAAGTAAAAGTTGACGTTTCCTCCAACCACACTTCTGGCCGACCTACCAAGGTCCCTTTGAACCATGATAACTTCCCACCTCCGTATGAGCAAGAGCAAAGACATAGGAGGTCGGGCAGTGTATTTGATAGAATTAGCCGAGCTGAACTGAGGCTCAGACAACAACAGCATCACGAGCCTTGGATAAGGCCACCGCCTCTACCTCCAATGCCTCAACAACCGAAGGAAAGGCATGAAAATGCCCCCCATGTTGCTCCGCCTAGAAATAGGCGCCAAAGGAAGGAGGAAGAGGTTAAGAACCGTCCCGGAACCTCTCACCAACAACCGAGGTATGAGGCTGAAGAAAACGATTCAGATAAGCAGCAGAGGTCCTGTGACTTGGATGATGATGATGAAAACTTTCCATTCTCAAGGTAACTAAGGAGTGCCCAAGTCTCGAACCACTATGTTATGCCAAAGATACTAAAGTATGACGAAAGAGGTGACACAGAAAAGCACCTGAATGCTTACAAAACTCACATGAGCCTAAGGGGCGCCACCCCAGCTGTGAGATGCAGAGCTTTCCACTTAACACTTAGCGGAGCAGCTGAAATTTGGTATAGTAGGTTACCACCTGGGAGTA